ATAAACAAACAAACAAACAAATAGATAAACAAATAAACAAATAAATGGCCCACAGCCCACAAGAACTAACTCTAGCTTTTACAAGGACACAAAATTTTTGGTTTTGGCCATGAAAAAACAAACCCGGTAACCTGACACGATGTTTTGTGAGGACCTCGCTCCCGGTATGCTGCATCTCTTCCGTGAAAATAGAAGTTTTCACCTTCCTGTCCTTGTCCAAGCAGGTGGAGCCCTGTCTCTTCAGGCAGGCTTTTCCTCAGTGAATGACAGTCTAGAAGACAAGAAACAGGTTGGATTGAATTTTCTAGCTTCTAAATCTGTTTTTGTAACAGTTTTCAATAACATTTTGTTCATATATTGATACTCATACTTCTTTAATATTTCAATAATTAACGTTCTCGGCTTGTAACATTAGGTCTTTAATGATGGAAGCTGTCTTGGGTTCTTTTTGTAGGAACAGAGTGGAGAAAAAATATTTTAAATGAAGAAATTATTTATTACATGTCTAAAACTATGTCAGGAACTGCCATGCTTTATTTTCGTGATATGGCTCGCTAATGTAGACAATGTCTGTAAATAAGTCATTCCATACTATTTTCTGATTTTTTTTAATCATTCTAATTTATACTATTATCATTCTGATACCAAGCATCATTGGCACAACATCCTTCTCATTTTATTTTAAAACAGATAAACTTGACTCTATGTATTCTGCATCTTACAATAACCTTTCATTGACCTGATGAATCAAATTCTAAACCATTAAATGTTCTTCCCAATATTAGATAGTCATAACACAGGACAATCGTAACGCACTGTGTGCAACAACTTGAAAACTGTGATCTGTCCTATGAAACGGAGCCTCCGTTTAGACCTTCCGGAATCCACAGCCAGCATATTGAGATTACAACCTACACTGAAATACTGCTTCTTAAAGTCTCTGGATAAATAAAATAAACAAACAGCTATTTGCATGCAGACTGAATTTTTTGTTAAAAGAAAAAGACCTAATAAAGTTGATAAGAATCACAAGAATTAAGAATGCTTTAATTAAATAAATTGGAAATGAAAGTAGCTAGCTACTCGGTCCAACAGGGCTGGGCCTTTTTGTATGGGGCGGAGGGAGAGCCGAAAAGATGGAAAAAGCCCATCTAAGAATTAACCTCTGGTTGGGCGGGGGAGCATCAGGATCTAGACTGTTACGTGTGAGGGGTCCCAAAGGAGATGCCCCTTAGTACAGACTTGCTGGGACACTTTTATGACTTTTGGGCCATCACCAAGGCCTTCCTGGAATGGGAACTCTGCATGCCTAGAAGCCTAAAAGCATTCCAAGTGGCCTTACACGCAACCTGTTTCCTACCCCATAAACCAGGGCCTGAGGGGATGGAGGGGCCAGGACAGATCCATCCACATGGGGGGGTTACCACTAACATACAACCAAGCCTTCAATTAAGAATTAACAAAGGTCATCATGGGGCAGAGGGGATCAGGACAGACCCACATGGTGAGCCTCTACCATCCCGCTGGCCCCAGTGCACCCTTACCTGCCCACCTTTCCAGATCTGGTTGTTCCTCGAGGTTGCAGGGTAGAGCAAATGAATTATGAAGCTCTGCGTCCACGTGAATGATCTCATGGACACAACGACACCTGCTTAAGAAGGGAAAATACAGTTATTCCAAATCACAAGTAAAAGCGGCTGTAAAAAGGAGGAGAAAACCAGGGGGCAGCGGGTGGAATTAAAAGCAGTAGAAGTGAGCCACAGCCCCAGGTCCCCTTGATGCTGGGAAGAAAAAGACGGTTCCCTCGCCTCTCCAGGGTGAAATAATAAAATCACTACGTAAACAAACAGCCCAGAGTGGCCTTGGCTGCCAGATGGGCATTATATAAATCAAATAAATATATAAATAAATATACGTAGACAAGGGACTGAATGACTGTAATAATTTTATCCTGAATTCTCTACTCATGAAAATACAAAAAGTATTGACAATGCAACTGTATGTCCAAATGAGTTCCCTCACTGAAACATATTTCCAAGTAGGCATGTAAGTGTAAAGGACTGTACTTTAGATAGGTCACTGAGATACAGTTACCTGTGCTTTTTTATTATATTATTTCAGTTTTCATATTATGTTTTGGTCACTGAAATACTCTCTTTATATTACTTTGTAAAAGTTTTTTTAAAAAAAATCTGAAAGACTAATACTTCCTACACTTCTTTTGCTTTTGTCCTTACCCAGCCGCCGTCCCCGTTATGAGCGGGGCAGCGTCCAGCGCAGGCCGGGTCTGCCACCGGCCTTGCAGCCAGAACAGCCTCTGGGCGCCGCAGGGGCAGGCCGGACAAATAATGGGGAGACACGGCAGGGAAGAAAAAGCACAACACACCGGCCTTTGGCATCCCAGTGTCGCCATGGCAACGGGACAGGAAGAGGCGGGCCCAGAGGACCTGCTCTCCAAGTGCAAAGGGCTAGAAGGTCCCCATGGTGACTTGCAGGAAGAGGCGGGCCTGGAGGACCTGCCCTCTGATTTCCAAAGGCTAGAACGGCTCCATGGTGACTTAAAGGAAGAGGCGGGCCCGGAGGACCTGCCCTCTGAGTTCCAAAGGTTAGAACGTCAGCATGAAAGACCCTCTGAGTCCAAGCGTGCTAGACGGTTCCTCTACTCGCCTGCCCGGCCAGTTCTCGCCTCCCTCTGCTGGCAGCCTCAGGCCGGAGGACCCTAACCATTTCACACACCCCCCCCAAGCTTCCCAGCTTGTGGAATGAAAACCCGGGCACCTAAACGGTTCCTGCTGGGGGCGGGGGGGGGGAGACGATCCCAAGATGGACCGAGGAGGAGGAGGAGGAAGAGGAAGGACGCCTCGCTCTCGCAGGGACTAGGGAGGAGGAAACCTCCTCGTGCCTTTTTTTCCTGACTGGTGTCCCAACCCTCAAGAGGACGACTGATATTCAATGCAGGAAGCTACAGATCAGTGAATTGGACTCGATACTGTGGGCGTGGGATTTGTCAGTTCTGGGTGTCTGGATTGCCGGGCAGTTTCGCAGGGTTCTTCTGTAGCAAGAGCCAGTTAATATTTTCTGGACAGGGTGGGGAGATGCAGCGCGGCCTTCCTTTCCACCCCCTTCCTGCCTCCCATGGCAATGAAGCATTTGCCCCCTCCCAGGTCCCCATCAGATCAGGGGCTTCATCTTTCCCTGGATCGTGGTGGGATGTCAAGCATAGACATGGCACTTGGATCGGGCTTCAACGCCATTGAAGTGCCATTGGCACGTGGGGCGGTTTTGGAGGAAGTGGGGCTCTGCCCCCAAAGTGCCTGGGCAGCGAGGCCGTCCACGTACCTTTGGGCCCCCTTCGGGGCCACCCGTCTTCCCACGCCATTTGCGGGACGGGGAGGGGAGAAGAACGCTTGGGCGCTCTGACCCTCTGGACTCTCTGGTGTAATGGGCCAGAGGTCCTCCATGCCATGGAAACACTCTAGGAGCCCAGCTCGATGGCCGTATGTGCCGAGCGCCACAGGCCAGGCCACTTCCCCAGGGGCGCTCTAGCATCCTGATCTCAGAGGGTCGGCTCTCCAAGTCTTTTAGCCTAGAGCGCCCGGATGCGGTCTTCAAGGCTTCTATCCGAGTCCTGGAAGCTGCATTTCCCCAGCGTCGTCCTTCGTGGGGGGGGGGGCTTTGCCAGGGGAGGGGGTACACTTTTTTGGGGGGGGGGCTTCTTGCCTGCCTTCCTGCCTGGCGCTCCCTCTTCCAAGGGGTGGAGGCGGACGGTCACGTGGCGGACTACACGACTCATCCGTCGTAGCGGCCCCCCCCGGATAATGTGCGCACAGGTAAAGCCGTCTGATACTCTCCGCCCCCCCCCAAGCAAGGGTTCCCTGGGGGGGTGTCACTCCGAGCAACGGACCCTCTCCCTCCCTCCCTTCCTTCCCAACTGCCCGCCCTATGAGGCTGCACCACCAACCCCCTGCCTCTCTCCTGCCCCCAGGATCAGTCCAGACCCGGGGAACGCTCCTTTTGGGGGAACTACAAAGCCCAGAATCCCCAGCTCATTCGCCCATGGCTAGGAGGATCGTGCAGCCCCTCTTGTTCCCTTTGCACCCACGCCGGTGAGTCCTGGGCTGAGAGGCCGGCGGGATGTTCGTCCAGGAAGGGCCCCCCCTCCCGCCAGAGGGTGGCGGGGCGCGTGGTCCGGCCAC